ACTGAAGAGTTAAAGCATCTGGTTTCTTTTACTGTAGTTTTTCAAACTAGATATTTAGGGCTGCAACTACATCATTAATCTATCTGCTGATTAATCAGTTTGGGAATGCTGGGTATATTTGCTTTGAAAATGACTCTTGTTTTATTATCAAAATAGTTACTGATAAATTTTCTGTTAAATTAAGTTAGTATTTGACCTCTATAAATATTCACCCTGTAAAATTGCTGTTATTTATACAAGTTAAATGTAGTAGTTGTGTTGATGTGAGTAGGTTGTAGCAGTAGAAGGCACAAGACAGTATAAATACTACATCTATAGCACAGACTGTATAAAAATAATGGACGTAGCCACTGTACCATAACCCTCTGATTTGTTTGGACAAGAGCTGTTAGCTTGGTTAGCGCAGTGCATTTACAGATGTAGTTAATTGTGTTAATGCTAATGCTAATTTTCGCTAGTAAAAAACAGGTATGAATTCATTAAAACAAAATGCACTTGCCAGAGAAAACTGAACATCCAACTCCTTAGAGGGTCTTTTAATACAACCAAAGACTGAACAAAAGTTTGCAGTTAACGTAAATGAACTGAAAACATGTAAGGAAACTACATGATGATTGATGACGCAGCAACCTGTGGGGCTGAAAAATTAAGCCAAGGCAGAAGTACCAAAAACTGCAGTTCCTCTAATGGCCACTTGAGGCTGGCTCCAGAAGCCAGTCAATCCACAGACCCCCGTGTTAAAATGCCAAATTTTACAGCAGAAATAAAAATGGTACAAAATCGTTTTTGTCTATATCGCTAATTTCCCCGTTCACTGTACGAGAGGTGGATTTTTATATAACTCGGCCATTGACATTTTATTAAGGCTGAAAGTTGTGTATATTAAGGCCATGGTTGCTTTAAGTGACAGGCGGGTGCAGTCTGCTACCACAGTGACAGTGTTGGTTAGGTAACGAGTATAGCATAGCTGTAGCTGTTGCTATTTAAGTGTGTTTCCAGTCCATTAAAGTTAATTGTTACGTTTTGGTTACCTAAAAAAAAGTCTTGTTCAGTGTTGGAGGAGTTGGATGTTCAGTAATTCTGGTTAGTACAGTTTATTTTGATGGTTGTAAGAAGTTTTTTTGGTAACAAAAATTATCAATAGCATAATTACTACAGTTAAACATACAGTAGCTGTAATAGCATGCTAACCAAGCTGGCAGCTAGCATTACGGTTAGCTTCACCCTCCATCCAAATATGGTCACTTCTGACTCCAACAATCCAAGATAGTGACGGCCAAAATGCCAAACTTGAAGCACCAGTGGGTGACGCCACGGTGGCTGCATCCCCTCTTTTAAACAGTCTATGGGGATTTACTCTCTTTGGGAGCCCGCCTCAAGTAGCTATTTAGTTGTACTGCACTATTTGGAACTTCACGTTGGCTTCATTTTTTAGCCCTGGAGGTTGCTGCTTGATCTATAGCCAAACAGCTTGGCAGCATCACCTACCCTGGACTTAGCAGATTTAAATGACCTCAGTGCATAACCTTTGTACTGTTGGATTTCTAACCAGGAAGTAGGCCATGGTGCTCATCTCAAGTGCAGAGAGTCCGACCAACAGGCCCAAATCCAGAAATACCCCTTAAATAGACAAAAACAGAAATTAACCAGAGAATATTTGACATCGTTGCTTGATAATCAACCTAAATGATTAATCAGTGGTCAGATTTGTTGCTGATAAATTTTCTGTTCATAACTAATCAAATAATCAACTTACTGTTGAAGCTCAGCTCTTATCTTCAAAACTCTGCTACATCATGCTGGTCTCAGTCTAGCTCAAAAATTAATAATCTAATCATGTTCTAACGCTCTTAATGGAAATTTTCTTGAACTGTTGAAGCTGTGAACATCTGCACACAGTGTGACATGTTGCTTGTTAAACATGACTGCTTTCGCTGCATTTATACTCAATCTAACGTTGGCGTGATCAAAGTGATCCAAGATGCCGTATCATGCCACAGCTCCGGCTTCCAGTTGAGCAAAGCTTCCTTTAGATTTCTGCTTTCTGTGGTTTACTTATATCTTCACCAAGCTGAAGATGCTAACTTGATCGTGTGGCATGAGTTCCTTTGATCACTCTTGAGCTTCACTGAAAATAAATAGAAAATAATGTTCAGAGTTCAACCTCTTTAAATACTTTTTGTCTCCTGACAGGGCGAAAACCAGTGACTGCTAACCACCTCCACCTGCAGCCATGCACCTACAGCTCTGGCAGCGAAGCCAACATCGGCAGGGATCTCCAGCTCTCTCCCAACCTCTGTGTCCTTCCTCCTCAACTCCAAACCATTCTTCCTCACCTCCACCTCAACAGCCAGTTCTCCTCTTGTTATTGCTTTTATTTTTGTCCCAGCCCTGAAACATTATTCAGCCACCATACACACCTCCCTCTTCATCCACAGCATGTCACTCCTCAGTCCTCCACCTCACAGGTCCCTCATGTCTCCTCACCCTCTCTAAACTGTTTACAGCAGACACTTCGACATTCTTTGAAGACAGCACATTTGAAGAGAAGAACACACCAGCGCTCTCTCCCTCCGTCACACCTCAACCACAGCCTATGCTGCTTCTGGAGTCATAATTTTATTTCTTTTTTTTTTTAATTTGCTTTAATAATATTATTTGCAGCTTTGTCATTCTGTTATGCTTCTTTGCATTTATGCATTCAAGACTGATACTAGGAGCTATGCATTGCCAATTTGTAATGCTGTTCATATGTGTATTTTTAGAAAAACCTTTTTCAGAGGCAAAAATAAATATGCTCTATTTTTTATAAGGAATTACTTGAAGTTTTTCACAGTGTTGGGGGTTGCACTGCCTCCTCCCACATGAGAAATTCAGTGGCATGTAATGTCCATGATGTACATAGTGTTCTTTTTAAAAAGATGTGTAAAAAGACATATTTTTGCTCGTTTAAAAAAAAAAAAAAAAAAACAGAGACAAAGGACAATGTTACATATTTGAATACAGTAGAAAGCTGATTTGATGACTTGTTCTCCTTTTGAAATGAAATCGTCTTAAGTTTCTCTTTCTCTTAGAGTGTAATCTACAAATAAAACTGGTATTATCTAGTTTACACAACAACCTGTCCTTTCTCTTTCTTTTCTGGTTTTTTCACCACAGTCCTGTTAGCTGCTTCTTCACAAACTTTAAAGGAACAGTGTAAGATTGAGGGGGCTGAAGCTTTTGGTCAGTATTCCCTCAGTGTTCATTGTTCAGGAGGTTTGTAGATGATTAAAATAAAAAAAATTAAAAAAAAACAGACACAAAAAAGCAGTTTCACATTACAAAGAACATTTTTCTCATATGCTGTTCACCACATCCCAGGCAGCCTGCTTGCCCATTACCTGCCAATGTATGCTCACCTCATTTATAAACCAGACAGATATGGCTGATTTTCAGCCAACAAAAGCACAACAAATCTTATTTTCATGTGATTATACACTAAAGAAAACACTTTTTATATTCCATTTCCGCCAATTTATCACCCTAAATCCTACACCCTGGACCTTTAAATTAATAGTGCATCATTTGCGCTTTTAAACAAAATCTCAGAAAACTTATAAAAATTGTCTTAATATGAGTAATAAACTGGGGAAGTTTCATGGCGACTTACATACACCAAACTGTCCAGTATTATGCCCATCTACGTATATTTATATTATACGACACATATTCCTAAAAACATGGCTTTTTTAATATCAGATTTATGGAGGGATTAAGAGAGATATGTCAACAAAATTAAACTTTGATGCAAACACAGTGCATATGTCATCAGATAATGCACATTTGCATACTTTAACATATCTTTGAAGACAATAATTGTAGTACAAAAAAAACTGTCTTAAGCAATCAACTGAGGAAGTTTCATGGTGATGTTTGTGATTAAAAGTTTTACCCTTTGTCTTAAAATTAGTTAGATACACTGATCAGCCAAAACATTAAAACCACTGACAGGTGAAGTGAATAACTTTGATTATTTTGTTCCAATGCATTGTTCTGCTGGGAAACCTTTGCCTCTGGCATTCATGTGGATATCACCTGACATGATCCACCCACTCAAACACCGTTGCAGACCAAGTACCTCCCTCATGGCAACAGTACTCCCAGACAGAAAAAAGCAGTGTGCCACACTACAAAAGCTGTTCAGAAATGGCCTGTGGAGTGTGACAAAATTCTCAAGGTGTCGACCTGGCCTCTAAATTTCCCAGGTCCCAATCTGCTCAAGGATTCTTGTGATGTGGCGGTACCCCAGATGTACCCCTAATCCAAGGTGGTCCTTGGATCAGACTTGGCTCTGACCTGTTGGTGCATGGACACAGGATCTCTGGGAGTGTCTGGCACCAGTGCGTTGGCGGCAGATCCATTTAGTCCAGTGGGTTGTGAGGTGGGTTAATGGCACGTGCCACAGATGCTCATTCAGATTGGGATCTGGGGAATTTGGAGGCCAGGTTGACACTTTGAGGTCTTTGTCACATTCCTTGGGCCATTCCTGAGCCATGTTTGCAGTGTTTTTTAAGCAAATGCTTTTAGTGGCTTATAAATATTAGTAACATTTTGATTTTAACTTCAGTATTTCTCAAATGATGGATGTGTCTTTCTGAGAGCCAAACCTTCATTTCATGGTTCCCTCTTTAAAAAAAAAAACGCTGTCGGTACATTCCTTTCCCACAAACAGTCCTACACAGAAACCACCCAAAACAATGATGCAGGCAGAAAGGAAAACCACAAACTTGGCAAACCAACAGTTCATGGTCACAGTGTGAATCAGAGCGCTGTCTTGTTAGCACTATGTAAGTTGTTGTAACATGTTTGTAAAACAGGAATCAAATTACAGGGGGGCGGGACTGCCAGGAATACAGTGTGGCACCTGGCCAACCAGTTTCAGTCAGGCAGGCGGGGGCAGGGTCCATTAAGAGTAACACTATCAAAGTCTTTATCGGTTTGGATAAATTTACACTGGATTCTTGTTATAATATTTTTATTAGGAAAAAAATCATTCAATTACAAGGAAATAATAATCCAAAAGTGCACGTTTGGGTCATTTCCTGTACATGATGTAATGATTGTACATCTAAAGATTATTATCAAAATAAAGGAGAGGTTCTTGTGGGGTCAGTTTACAACCAAGTTTTAGGTTCAGACCAGATAAACTCACATTTATAAGTCTTAGGTGTATTTTCCAGAAGCTAATTATCTGTTAAAAAAAGCACAAACTAAATTCGTGTGTATCAGAACAGAGCTGGAGGGATGCCACTGCCAAAAAGAAGACTCCAGGATGTTGGGATCTTCCATTTGTTGGGCGTTTGGCTCTGAAATGTGAATGAGACAAAACCATAATTAGAAAGTTACAATCTCAAGCCACACATTGCAGTGCACAGTGATTTATACCGGACCAAACTAAGCATGCTGTCATACCATGACTGATGAGCATGTTTCAAGTTTATTTCCTACAGCACAGTAAAGTATTAGTGGCTCTGTGACTTACAGGATTGTCCAGCAGATGAAGCCAGTCGTTGAGGTGGTTGACAAGCGTGAAGGCGTCTGGGATGTTGTCGCCTTCCGAACAGAAGAGCAGCAGCACAGCCAGCGGGAGATCCTCTGCACAACTGAACACACATCCAGCACACACGGTTAGATGTATAAAAAGCAGCTGTTACATTCAAAGGTTCTGTGTGTAGAATTTAGGGGCACCCATTGGTAGACTTTTTATACCGATGTGTTTTAAATCTTAAATGCATATGTGGGAAGTACTGGGCATACAGCTAGGTAATTGAGACTCCACTCGTTGAATGAGAGTTTGTGTACGGATGTTTTGATATAGTTTTGCTGCCGTTAAACATGATGGATGTTTGCCATTTTTGGATTCTCCGCTCACTGTGGAGGCATGTGTGACGAACAACATTTTCTATACGAATCCATGGTAACACAAGGTGAGTAACTGATATACAAATGGTCATTTTGTGGATTGAGTATTCCTTTCAGTAAACATCTAGTAGTAGACACGCACAATTCTTCAGTAGCACAACATAAGTGAGTGAATGAGTGTGATGCTTGAGAAGCGTTCTCTCTATGGATTCAGCATGTTAGTTTTTCAGTGCAGTTTGTTAGAATTGTACAAAAGAGCAATGTATTCACCAAAGAACAAACTTTTTCATAGTCATGGTTCCAGTCATCACATGGCTACACATCACATGCTTCTTGTTAGACGCACACACACACACACACACACACACACACACACACACAGCTGGTGCACAATTATGACTGCATTTAATGAGTAAATTACATCAGAATGCGACATAACCAGCTCATCATGCAGTCTGTTGCTGTAATTATATGGAACGATGACTCATGTCTCGTAAGACAGAGGACAGCTACAACTTTTTACTTCTTAAACTTATGAAAGTGATTCACTGATTGATGATTTGAGGTCTGTGTAAAGTTGCTGACAGGTTGCTGTGGCGCTCTCTCTCTCTCTCTCTGTACCTGTCTGTGTAGAGTCCTTTGGTTATGCCTCCTCCAGGTATGTAGAGGCGAGGCTCTGTGTTGGCGTCTGTTATTCCTGGGAAGGCCGACACACGCTCCATCTCCCTCCAGCCGAGCTCCTTCAACGCCTCCGCACTCACCTTCAGCAGAGACGGAGTGAGCAGGTACCTCAGAGGAGTGCTGACATGGACACATATTTGTCAGCAAAGATGTAGAGGAAAATAAATACAGCGATAACTGGAAGCACAGGTTAATTACCCTTGCAGCTGTTGGTCATCCCTCTGGTAGGCGTGGCTGCTGGACAGAACGACCGTCCTGGAGAACCCGCTAGCTTTGATCCAAGATACGAGCAGCTGACAGAACCTTTTCGATTTATTCTGCAATTAAAACAAAGGTTAGAGCTACAAATACAGTAAAGCCACTTCGATTGTAGGTTCATGGAAACAGCTGACAAAAAAATAGAAGGTAGGCTTAAAAAACCCCTCTTCTTAGGGTCATAAATAAATTAAGATTTAATGCTAACCAGTAGACTGTGATTTTACCTGAATAATTGGTGCCCTGATCTGAAGAACTGCCACCTTCAGTTCTGCTGCTGTGTAAACTGTTGATAAGGAAAAGTTGACAGATTAATATGCTGGTCTAATAAAGAACATACTTCACAAGAGAAATGTGCACATTCACTGAGATGGTACCTTCTGCAGAGGTGTGCAGCTCCTCAGCATCTTCTTTGCAGGTGGCATACGGGTTGTTTCCAGTCATGGGGATGAGACAGTCTGTGTGTATGTAGCCCACTCTGCTCATGTTGAGAGTGGACACCATGAGATCCACAGCAAGCTGGCCCACATTACCAACAGCCACTGCTGGCTGGGGGGAGAATAAACAACAATAAATCAGAATACAGTTTAATGCCAAGTAGGTTTTCACTTACAAGGAATTTGCCTTGGTGTACTGAGGCATAGACAAGAAAAACAAATGTAGAACAGAAAAAATATAATAGATAGATTTTTTTAATATGTACCACTGTAAAAAGGTTAGCTAAAACTAAACTAAAAAACTAAAAGAAATTGTGAAAATGAAATAAAAATATAAACTAGACTTTAGGGGAAAAAAGAAAACCAATGTTTAAAAACAACAAAACAAATGTTTTTAGTTTTAGTTTCTGTTAGGCTGGTCAAATCTGTCAACTCAACAGGCATGAAAAGGGAACTGGTGCATTAACACTGGGATGTCTACATAGCTGTGTATTATTAGCCATCACAAAGCGCTGTATTTGTATTTTAATGCCTATTTTGAGCTTCTTAAATCTTGCCCCTGTACCATATTATTAAATAAAAAACTACAAAAAAAATACTACAACTAATATTTTTAACAATGATTACTACACTGAAACAAGCAAACCCACCCCGGAAACTAAACCGAATTAAAAACAAAAATTAAAGACAAAATAAAAAGAAATACTTTGAGGTTTTACTTTCTGATAAAAGTCAAGTGTGTTCCCATTCACATTCATCAAATGACTGCTACTTGTCTCTCCATCAAGTCTACTTTTTATTTACTCAATATTGCGCTCTTATTCCACAGTGGGACATTGCAAGGGCTGCAATTACGTTTATAAATCATTTTCCAGTGTGCAGGATTTTTATTTGTAACATAACAGTGCAGTACTGGTGCTTTTACTTTGAAAGAGGTGTCTGGACACTTCCTGTACCGCTGCTAATCTGTGATTCTCAGTCATATATCTGAATACAACTGGTTACAACTTGGCTGGTATTGATAAAACACTTGAGTAAAGAACGAAACTAAAAGGCTGAAGCACCGACTCGTTGGTAATTACAACATTAACACGTGTATTTTTGTCACTGTGCAGGTGGAGGCAAAAACCTCCAGATGTGTCACTCACCATGACGAGGGTGAAATCTTTGAAGCAGGGCGGTGAGTTTTGTGAAGAGATAAACATGGCGCCGTTTAGCGAGAAGACACACGGAGCTTAAAATATTAAGAGGAAGAGATTTAAGTTAAATGTTTTATTTAAATTTATATTCTCCCGGCAGCTTTCGCTTCTGTTTTCATGCCTGCTGCTGGGGACCTTCTGGGCTCTGACGTCACGTCGATTGTTGATGATTGAGCGGCTTTAGTACTTCCTGTAAAATGCCTGAATGAAATGTATCTGTGAAGGTTTAGTTCGGGGACTTATTTAGTAAATATCTGTACCATCTGTCAATATCTGTCTATATCGGCCTATTTCTATCCTGTAGGACGTATATTTGAAATAATATTTTAGGATTTTGTATTTTAATCAGGCATATTGATGGTCAAATCTCATTTCCGCAAAGATTTCTTGCGTAGTAAAGATCTGCAACCTAGAAATTCTCTTTATTGGTGGGAAAGATCTATTTCTGTAGGCTATTATTTAAATGTCTATGTGTACAATTTTTTTTGCTTGATATTCATAACTGGCTGTTAATGGGTGATATACCTCCATTTAGTTACACTGATAAAATTTATTTTATGGACAACCTGGATGCAAACATTTCAGACACCATTAATCTTGTTCAGTGATGTAAGGGCATTTTGACGGGCCCCAAGTGCACACTATCATGCATTTGTTGTCCTACCACAAATAGAGACTTGATATTGGACATCAACATACATATTACCCAGCAATTATCATCTGACAAAAAATATAAAAAGAAGTCAGTAATTAATGATTTAATTGAAGTTTTTATGGTAGATTTATAGATTTTTGAGCTGATATGGAAAAAAAGCATAAACTTTTGTTTTAGATAGATACTGACTATTTAAAAATAGTCCCATTTTCCCATTTTTTTATTAGTAATATTCTTTCTTTTATCATTTATCTTTGAACACAGGTATATTTCAAAGGTCGCAATCTGAATCACTTGAAAGGGCCCACTCTCTCTAGGGACCCCTCCATCCCAGGGGCCCCAGTGCAGTTGCACTGCCTGCACTATCTATATTTACGCCCCTGGTCTTGTCGTTATTTGGAGTAAATACCACAATCATGCTTGTAAGTGGAAAGGATGTACTCCCTCTTTCACTGTGTTTATAAATAACTTTGCCAACTTCTTTAAGTTGCTAAAATATATGGACAAATTAAATAGTACTGTATCTTGGTCCTTGCTCTTTTAAAGTATCTTGCCTTGCTCTCTTGTGTTTCTTTTTTTGTTTACCTGATTGTTTCTCCTTTTTATTCTTGTTGCCTTTTTTGTTTGAAAAGAAATATATTCTTTCCTTATTTTCTGAACCTCTTCGACATCAAATTGCTTGACAATATAATTTCCTCCTACTGGGTTGGGGAAACATGGCTTTAATATAAAGTTTCTAATAACTGTGTTGGTACATTTATTTTCCTTTGATGCAAAGCTGTCTAAACCCAGGACTGACCGTTGAATACAGAATGTCCTCTTTAACCACTGATCACAGAGAGATTAGTAAGGCTTTCACAGGTCTATTGTAATTCCTAACACTGGAGTTGAACACTTTATGCTGTATGTTATGTCCCCTTTTGAAGACGGACAAAAACACAACAATCAAATAATTGAAGGAGTCAGAGTAGAAGTGTACAAGTGAAAATTTATTTACAAACTCAACACTCATTCTACAAGACAGAGTTGCGCAATGAAATGTATTTGATGCATTAGTTATCCTAATGTAACAATAATTATCATGTTTATCAAACAACCTAACAGGTTAACTTTATGTACATCATCTTAGAGTAGGAAAACACTCCTAACTGCAGACAGATGAAGCACCATCAGTGAAGTCATTTTGGTTTGACTTCATTGGGAACAGACTGGCCGTTCACTGCAGCCACAGCATTTTCTACCATCCTCTGCACCAGCTTTGTTGTTGTAGTGTAGGTGTTGGTGCCATAGTGGGGTGTGATCACCACGTTAGGAAGGCCAAGGAGAGGATGATCCCTGCACAAGATGAAGAAGAGATGTTAGGAGCCAGCAAGGAGTTGGTTGAGTGTTGATGAATGTTCAATTCTGCTTCCTTTCACTATTGTTAGCTTGCTGTCAGCTAAAGCTGGAAACATGGTTGATGAGAGCAAAGATACGGGTCAGCAAACCAAAACAAGGAGTTAAAAGATGCTAAAAACTGCAGCAGAGATGCAGAATGATAATTCTTGGTTCAGTTAGAACTACAAGTGATGTCTTTCACATCACACAAACCCATTTGATTGATAAAACATACTGCCATGTGCAGCCTAAAGAAAAGTCAATATCATAATATTTGTAGTTGTAATACAAAAAACAGCCTTGATCCTAAAAGGAAAACAATTTCATCTCATCTTTCTTAGCTATATTAATATATCAAAGGGACAGTTCACCACAAAATTAGAAATACACATTTTACCTCTTACCTGTAGTGCTATTTATGAATCTAAACTAAGCACAAAAAGTAAGGAAATTTGTGTTTGGCAGGTTAGTTCTTTGTTATAACAATGCTTCTTGGCAATAAATCTTATACCGTTGGAAAGACTGTTTATTTCCCTTTTAAATGGTGCCACATTTGTAAGGAACATGCATTTGTGGGATGAGCAGCAGAGCTGCTTATGTGGGTTGCACCCATGAAAAATTTGCCAAATCTTCTCTACCAATGCCAAACAGCTTTTTTTGCTGTTGCTACTGACTCTTGTTTTGAGCTTCTGGTACCCCCAGGTGCTGAGCATGGGCTCCAAGAATCAGCATTCACGTTTGACTGATCTGGATAGGGCCTGTGCGATAGGGCAACTTCAAGCTGGTATTCCGCAAAACCAAGTTGCAGCATTATTTGGAGTGAGCACTAGTACCATCTGCAAACTGAAGGCCAAGTTCTATATAACAGGGGATGTCAGAGACAGGCCGCGCGGTGGGCGTCCCAAGAAGACGGCACCCCAAGAAGACCATTTCCTCATCCTGTCAGCATTTAGGAACAGTAGGCAGTCTTCTACAGATTTGCAGTCAAGGTTTGCAGGACAATATGGCCGATGGCTCTCTGCCCAGACAATCCAGAACAGACTGCACGCAGCCAATCTCCAGTCTCATATGGCTGCCAGGAGGCCTTCCATGACTGTCCTTCACCGTCAGACCTGTTTGCGCTGGTGTCGGCAACACATACATGGAACCTGAACATGTGGAGGAAAGTTATGTTCAGCGATGAGTCCAGATTCTGCATACAGCAGCTGGATTGTAAGGTCAAAGTGTGGAGAAGACTCGCAGAACGCTTTGCTGATTGCTGCACCGATAGAGTAACATCTTTTGGTGGAGGCAGTGTGATGGTGTGGGGTGGCATCTCCCTCACTGGAAAAACAAGGCTTGTCATCATTGGAGGCAATCTTAATGCAGAGAGATATCGAGATGAAATTCTGCAACCAGTGGCAATCCCATATCTCCACAGTCTGGGACCGAACTCTATTCTCCAAGATGACAACGCTCACCCCCACAGAGCGGGGTTTATCAGAGACTACATCCAGAATTTGGGAGTGGAGAGGATGGAATGGCCTGCCAGCAGTCCTGACCTCAACCCCATTGCACACTTGTGGGATCAGCTTGGGCATGTTGTTCGTGTCAGAGTGACCAACACAAACACGTTGGCTGACTTGTGACAAATGCTGGTTGAAGAATGGGATGCCATCCCACAGCATTGTGTGACCAGGCTGGTGACCAGCATGAAGAGGAGGTGCCAGGCTGTTGTGGCTGTGTATGGTTCTTCCACACGCTACTGAGGCTCCTGTTCGTTAAATGAATAAATTGTTAAATTGCCAATATGTCTTGTTTCTTCAGACTTCAATCATCCAATCCACCAAACACCACCAAACAAGAGTCAACAGCAAAGAGAAAAAGCTGTTTGGCGTTGGCAGAGAAGACTTGGCAAATTTTTCATGGGCACAACCCACATACTCAGCTCTGCTGCTAAAGGTACAGTTTAATAAGTTGTGATTGTGGTTTAAGAGTGTAGTGAGACCTCGGTAAAGGTTCAGGGTAAGTCACATCTAATGCCGCAGCATGGATTGTTCCCGACTGCAGAGCTTTGACTAAAGCATCCTGGTCCACAACCAGACCTGAGGCATGAAAGGTAAAACATTAGACATCAGTGTTTCATAATGACCTCACAGAAACCTTAATAATTCTTTAACCAAGATTAGTAAAGACAAGGAGACACATTAACCTCACCTCTGCTGATGTTGACCAGTGTTGCTGTGGGTTTCATGAGGGCCAGCTCTCTGTGGCTAATCAGTCCTGTGGTTTCAGGAGTGAGGTTGACAGCCAGCACGACAAAGTCTGACTCTTTCAGCAGTTCGTCCATGTTCTCACAGTAACTGGCACCCACCGCCTGCTCATCTTCAATGCTCCTGAACAGCACAGAGAAAACATGAAGCTCACCATTAACACTCTCTCATGATTCAGTGCTCTGAAATATCTGGTTATAGTAGTGAGTACACAATTTGGCAATTATTTTTTGGTCCATTATAGGATTTCCAAAATCTTCTTTTCCCCTTCTTTTATGTTTTGGCTGTACAACCAGTTGTTTCAAGATTTGCTATAAATTTGCAGTGTTGTGGTCAAGACCACCTGAACCAAGACCAAGTCATGACTAGTGTGTCAAGACCGAGACAAGACCAAGATACACACACAAAAAGGCAAGGTCTGCTGCAGAGCCATGTACACAGCTCTGGTCTACTGGCAGTGGGGGAGGGGTCTATTTTGTAAAATACTTTGCTTAATCCTTCAAAACAGTGCATCTCATATTTGTCATGGCCCAAGAGCCAGGTTATGACAAATCAGCTTAACCATCTTTATTCAAAACTCCTTTTTTGCACATGTAATTTAGTGATATTCCTGCAGTTTCGATCTTGACTGGTCTTGAAATAAAATCCTGACTCCTTAAAAAGTAGACTTGAAACTGAGACTGAACTTGCCACAATTTTTCTAAATTAACCAAATTACCTATCAAACCTTTACCTCTTGTTCCTGTTGTGATACAGGATCTTCATGTCAAATCCTTTGCCTCTTTTAGCAATTTTGCAGCCAATATCTCCCATTCCAATAATCCCCATCGTCGACCCTGTGACTTCCTCTCCCATCAGCCTTCGTGTCATGTGGGTGCTGTTTGGGACAACTGCTATTTGGTGACCTACAGAAAAACAAACATCCCCTCAGAAAAGCAAGATTTATTTATTTATCTTTATCTTCACATTTTTATACTGCCACTTATTTTGCCTTCAGCAACAAAGAATTTATGAGCACATTATGTTTTCATTTTTGTCAGATTTGATTTCCAAGTGGAAAAGCTGTAAGTCTTGGTTTTTGTAATTGAAAGGATTCAGTTAACTTTCGACCTCGGGAGTTTTGGAAACACTGTGGCATATAAGAATTCATGATTATGGTCTTGACTCACCTTCAACGATCTTGCGTGCCGATGCCAGAAGCAGTCCCATTGCCATATCTGCAGTGGCATCACTCACAACACCAGGCGTGTTGGTCACCTTCACTCCCAGACTGCTGATGTACGGCACATCCAGGTGGTCGATGCCCACTCCTCCGTTGGCAACCACCTTTAGCGAGGGGAGCAAACTGAGCAGCTGTGGCTGTACTATAGTGGAGACAGCCCACACAAGTATGGCCTGGATTTTAGGGCCGTGCAGCTGAGGGTTTTGAAGGAAGTCTTTGAAGTAGATGATTTGAAAGTGCTGTTTTATTATGTCAGTGAACTCTTCAAGGTAATCTTGCTCTCCCACCTCTGAGATCAGAGCCCATGGCTTGTCCTCCATTACCTGGAAGGACGAAACAAAAGTTAAAAGGACAACTTAAACACTCGCTGTCAGCCACCACACCCACCACGTCACGCTCTTTCCGCATCAGGGTGGCAGACAGTTAACCTTAAGGGTCTCCTTCCTGGGTGATGTAAAGAAATTAGTGCCCCTGGTTTGATTGTGTGTGATGAGGACAGACTTCTGTTTAGGTATAGAAGATCTCATCATTTGAAAGAAATTAATTTATTTGTTCTCATGGTCTCTACTCTTCTCTGTTCTCCTCTGAACCGTGTTTCAAGTCAGACAGGAGGAGGGCAAAAGTGAAGTATATGGTGTCTGAAACTGCCCTGGGCCCCCAGACCCTCAGGGGCCCAAAGGTTTCAATTGATTAGTGTCAAGAGTTCAAAAACTTCCAGCGCACACTAGAATATCAGGATTGACACAAAGTTTATTCAAAAATGTTTAACAACAAAAGGAGCGAACAACGCGTTTCGCTTGTTGCGTCATCAGATTCGCTCTTGATTGTCATCAGGTGTGTGCTTAAATAGTCAGGGCAAGTAACAATCAGACAATCAATCAATCAATGAGAAACAAATACAAAGTACATAACCTAGCTGTAATATTAAAGGGAGAGTGCATACAATATAAATAGAAATAGATATCAAAACAGTGATACAAGAAAATACTTTACAATTGCACAGTTCATCATCCGACAAGATTCAACTCTAATTTTGAAGTAGAGTGTGAACCATATAAATAGTATAGATCAAAAAAGAGAGA